CGAAGTACAGGAGCACAATCCAAACAAAATCTTCCGTGTGTTTGTTTATTGTCGCAGTTCTGACACTTACTCCTTACCCAGATTTATAAGACATGAGATGACGAAAGTGCTACTTTTCGTCTTCCATTTTAAAAGCATTAATTTGTGGTCAAAACGTCAACATACAACAAAGGCTGCTTCTCAACGATGCAAGGTTTCAATATCAAAACACCAGAAATCAGTGCCAAGTTGCGGCCATTTTATATTAAGAATGAAAACTGGGCATAACGTTTGCCAATATATATATATATATATATATATATATATATATGAAAAAAAATTTTGAAAAAAACAAACAAAATCATTAAATGCAGTTAAATGAAAATTTGAGTCGACGTCTGACGTTTTTAAACATTTATTTAACCTTTTTCAAGACAATATTCATTAAAAATTTTTTTCAGTTCAAAAACCAGCCTCTAGCAAAAAGCGTCGCCCATGTGACGACATCCACCATGTTAGACGGAAGGCTGATCATTTAAAAATTTTCAATTATCTGTTTTTTGATAAATACTTGTGTTTTTATGTCCATCGTCTTTTATTAAATTGAACTGAATTGTATTTTTAATGAATATTGTCTTGAAAAAGGTTTATTAAACCGAAACGTCAGACGTCGACATTTCTTTCATTTTAAACAACATTTAAGGATTTTTTTTTGTTTTTTCAAAATTTTTCTTCATTCTGTCAAATTTATATCCATTTATTCATTTTTGCTTATATATATATATATATATATATATATATATATATATATATATATATAACTAATATATATATGTAAATTATTAATGAAATTAAATGTATTTCTTTTGAAATATTAAAATCAGAAATTTGTCTTTATTCATATTGTCCTGTTACAGATATTTTTATTTATATTTGAGATTTTACATACACAAATACATACATACATCAATCCAACCAAATATGTTAGCTCTATCTCTGATATTGAGTGCTTTCTAATAATTAGATAATAAGTTATTGTTTTTGGAGTGTGCGTTCTTGTACAAATATGGTGATTTGTATATTATTTGAATTGTTTGCGACGATGGATTTCTCGCCAATTAAATCATTAACCTTTGTATTTGTTTTTGTATGAATAATTCATGAATTTGTAAATTAATTGCACCTTTATTTAAATTAAAATAACTGATCCAAATGCAACTTTTGGATAATAAGTGCGACATTACTGTAATTATTGAACAATATAGTTCATGCCACTTTGACAGAAAATTTACCAGTAAAAAAGAATTCGCTTATCACCATATTTGTACAAGAACGCACAACTGTAAAATTTAAAATCAAACTCAGCGTTGCTACTGCACGCTCCAAAAAAAATAACTCATTTCCAATAGCATTTTCGGATACAACAATACATATATTTTCGTTGTCCTCTTATTACTGAGAGAAAAAAACAAGAACAACATCTATTCCATACCTGAAGATGTCTGTAGGAACAGACGAAAGCTTGTAAAAAAAATAAGAACTAATGCAACAGAAATTTATAAAAACAAGGATCTTTTCATTCATAACAGGTTCAGGGTTTTTTGTATATTATTTGAATTGTTTGCGACATGGATTTCTCGCCAATTAAATCATTAACCTTTGTATTTGTTTTTTTATGGATTCTGCTTTCATGAATTTGTAAATTGATTGTGTTTTTCGATTTTTTTATATATATTTATATAATTTATATTCATATATATATATATGATATAAATAATATTATATTAAAAATTATAAATCCTATTAATAAAAAAAATAAATATCTAATTTCTTCGCATTATATATATAATATATATATAAATATATATATATATATATATATATTATAGAATGAAAAATTTTTATTCCAAATACATTACCATATCGGTTCTTAAAAATGACGACATAATATAAATTATTTATATATAAAATAACCAAATATTAATTTGGGAAAATTTACCCAAAATTTTGCGCAAATGTTCAACGAAAATTTACGCAAACAAAAAAAATTTGGTTGACAAAAATTTTGGGTCAAATTTTTGAATGAACGTGAATTTTTATATAGTAATTGCTGCCTTTAAAACACACAACAATTTATTTTAAACAATGAATTACTCAAAATTCGTTTGAGGATTATGTCCTTTTGTCTTTAATTTAATTAAAAATTAAATTGGAATTTATTCATTTCCATTTTTGTTATTACGATATGGAATGTTTTCGAAAAAAATTTATTTTAAATCCAATTAATTTATATATATATATTTTTATATATATATATATATATATATATATATGTATAATTTGAAATCTTCAATTTGGAATAATGACCCGTTTACGTTTTCCGGATTAAATTGAATTTTATTTGATTTCAAAAATGGAACTAAGACATTTGTGTTTCATGACAACAAATTATATTTTATATATTAAATTATGTCCAAGGACTTTTTTGGTTTTGACATTAGTTAGATGATTTTGATCTAAT